TTTGAGACTTAAATAAACCATTCTGTTGTATCTTGCTACGTTTTATATGAACGATGATTAGGTTTCATACGTAGTAAAGTTGATGGAGCGTGTCTCCTTGCGTCTGCACGAGGGCCACGGTTGTTTGTTCACAAAATTGCCATTTTTATGGCACGCGCGACGATCATATTCTGCCATTACTCGGTTCACGTCCGCGTCACTTCATACTGCGTTATTTACATTACAGACTATATACCTAGATTAGACGTTTTATTTGCTCAACTTACAAAGCATTTAATACAATTGTGGTTATGGTTGCTTTAAGGCTTAATTAAGTGTACGCGTACGGTTAATTCTTGGAGTCAAAAGAACTCTAACTCGAAACAGTATTATTCGTAGGTCACACATTTTTATGAAACCAACCTTCCTACGGTCTTTTTTTTGAAATCTTTTTACTTTTATAAATCGATAATCATCACAGTTCTATAAGACGTTTTAAGTTCGCCGTAAAAATTGATTTCTAGTACTTTAATAAAAAGTTTAGCCGCGATTTTCCTTAAGGCCGCTCACATTGTAACCAAGAAATCTCATCAAATTTGTTCGCGTTCGTCACGCATCAACGACAAATCTTTGTTCACCATAATTGCTCTACGTGACACTGACGAGCCATAACCGTGTAATACGGAGAGGCTATTAAACTGTCAATGGCAGAGGGTCATAATCTGGAGTACCTACGCACCGCAATATGGGCAACATAAATCAGCTAATTAACCCTCCTAGCCCTTATTAACGACATAAATTTCGCGCTCCGAAGCACACTACTCGAGACGCGATGCGGGTTAATATGCCCATAACACACTCAACGCGACGTCTGCCTTAGGAATTATGTCTCTGAGTACTGGCGGTCTAACGTTGCTTAAGTACAAGACAATCTTAATCTTTGCTCTCCTTACTTACTGGTTTACTTGACAACCATAAAGAACGACGTAGTATGCATAATGTATGCGTAAAATTGTTCTCTACAGTCGTAAATAAAGTAAAAATATAATCAAAGTGTGAGTTTAAAGATGTGTAGCTAAATAATAAAGATCTATTATTTTGATTTACTCAAAATTAAAGTAGATTAAACGTCATTATGTGGTAAATCGCTATAATTGTATGCTTAATACTTTATGTAATATGTTAAAAATAAGTTGCATATTTTTGGCAGAAGCTTATCGCAATGGTAGTTATTTTCTCAAACTGGGTTCGAAAACATTTATTTTCATCATTTTAAACATTTATGACGTTACACCGAAACAACATAAAGATAAAATCATAGATTGTTTTATAAACGCATTTGTACGTCACGCGTATGAACTTATATTGAAGAAATCGTAGTCGAGTTTGAACCCACTGGCTATTAATAAAAGTTACATAGTCTAGTAATAATCTAGGGGTGAAAGGGAATAAAAGTTTGCTTGTAATTAGAGCGCGCGTCGCATCGCGTGGCTAGCCCTATTACGGGGGATATAAACGTGTGAGTCATCTCGTGCCCGCTTATCAGTTCGATCAGTCGCACACATGGCATCATTCCATGCACTTTATTGTATTACTACCTATATCTCATCTCGCACGCGAACTTTTTCATTTCATCCCATCCCAGAGATGTTATCGAGCGGATAAACGGCTCCGATAGTAAAATGAGCCTGAAATATACAACATTTTATTATAATATATCTGAGTGCTTCAATAAAAGTACTTCGATGTTATGAGTAGCTTTGTCTTGTGAAGTAGAAATGGAAAAAGTGTTTTATCAAACTGAAAACCAAGGTCGACGATGACTAGTCAAATTATGAACACAGAAGAGGCGAGCGGGCAACGAAGTGAATGTTATTGTAGGTACTTTTAGTAATTTATCAGAATGTACATTTGTACCGATGGCATTATGTAATTTTTTGGTTACGAGAAAGTAGTAATTTTACACTTCAAATACATAGGAATAGTCCATTACAAATAGGTCAATGTTAGGACTATTACATGTACCTTTAATGCTCTTGAATTAAAGAAAATTATATCGTATTAAAGAAAATTGTTAGAAATCGAGATTTCTAACAATTTTCTTTAATACAACAGAGTTGGATTAATTTAAACTTATTAGAATAAGTTGTGAATATATTTATAAACTACATAATATATAGTACTGTACTGTAATAAGTAACTCTTCAGTACAAAAAAATGTATGGTGCAATAATTATGTGTCAAGTGCTATACATATTACTAGATCTTGTCCCCGAGAGCTCGGAAATAGTATTCATTTATCACTTCAGAACATTCAGAGACAGCGTATAAATTACATTTTCCTATATAAATGGCATGTTTTCTCATGCTAAATGCCTCTAATACATTTTTGTCGTAAATATTGATATGATCTCTTCAGGAATTTCGTTTAGGAAAAGTAACAGGTGGGCAGACTAATACAGAGTAACCTTATACATTCATGCTCGTAACTTTAGTTTTGAATGTACTTTAATATTTTAAGCATGTTCACATTTTCGGGGTTTTCATAAAGTATTTGTAATATACATATATTTTACTCGTGTAAGTGTTTTATATATATATATATATATACATAGTTATATCATGATGAACAGACGTTCAAAGAAGTGGTTGGCAGCAGATGGATACGGACTGCCCAAGACCGGGATAGTTGGCGATCCTTGGGGGAGGCCTTCGTTCAGCAGTGGACGGCGATAGGCTGATGATGATATAAATATGTTCTTTTAAAGCCAACAAATTAATATCATATTTTGTTCTCCAATTCATGACGTACATTTTATTTATCAAACACTTAGTAAAATAAAGCTGAGGAATATGATCACGTCTGTTAGATTCGACATTATCATTAAAATCAATATAAGTACACAAATGGAGCTAAGTTTAAAAAACATTCCTAAGAATATAAATCATGGCAACAGAATATGATGTCGGCTCTTTGAGGCCGTTTGTAACTTATTACGATAGATTTTATTCAATAGAAAAGATTTTTATTAGTCTCAAATGTATAGTGGATAGTTCTATGAGTTGAAACATGAAGCGTGACAAAGATAAAAGTGAATTATCTGTACGCAATACACTATTAGCTATTAACATTATAAGAACCCTCTTCCTTTAGGGGTCATACCGTGGGGTCGACAAACTCGTGTGCATTCAGCTGTGATCACGTTCAATGATGGTCGTTAGAGAGCGCACTCACAAAAGATGGATTTAAAGTTCTGATACAAAGAAACAGGCATTTGTACTTTATTACCATAATTATGCTCAGTAGCCGCTTAAAGCAGATAGCACGACCATAGGGGATTTATCTGAATTCATTCTTGTTTCATGTTTAGCATAAGAAAGATAAAAAAGAACGTCGTTAAAACATTGTACGCGTGATATGACTGCGAGTGTGAAAAATGACATAATATGACACAAAAAGTCCATTAAGTTGCTAAGGGCCGTTTGTATTCAAGCTAGACTTAATTGGTGGAGAGCCCGCATTAAGAGAACTCGAGTGCAATTTACATAGCTAACTGGCCACAGCTAACTACCTGGGAGGCTGACTTTTACACTTGTAAAATGTAGGTTTAAACATATGCACAGCAACAAAACAGAAAAATGAAATAACGTATATTATATATATATATGGTAGCTTATTTCTATCTTTTATTGAATTGATGGTAAATTAATACTTAGGTTTTTTTTATGTTAGAGGGGGCAGACGAACAGCCGGGTCACCTGATGGAAAGTGACCATCGCCGCTGATGAACGTCTACAACTTAGGAGTCACAAACGCATTGCCGGCCTTTTAGGAAGGAGTACGCTCTTTTCTTGAAGGTTTGAAGGTCGTATCGGTCCGGAAATACGTAAAAAGTGTCTTCTACACTTCAATTCTTTCTTTATTTCCTCATTATTTGACATCCAATAAGAAACATGTTTTTAGCACATAGTAAAAATTTCACCTGCAATTCCGCCTTTGGTGCCCACATGTCATGATATTAATCTAGAATACAACCTATCTCCTTGTCAATAGTGTTTCAAATCTGTTCAGTGACAAAGGCATAATTTTATATAGTACGTCTTCGTGAACTATACATACCAACACTCACGCTTGTATTTCCCAACTATAATTAATCAAGTTTAGATCACGCAATAGGGGCAACTCTATTTACGTTGTAAAAAGGTAAACATTGAAAAGGATAGGTAGGCAATAATAAACGTAATGGAATAAAGGATATTGTTCAAAGGGGTGGGTGTTTTTAATTTGGTGGTAAAGTATAAGCAATAGCTCGAGAAAGTCACCCATATATGTTACTCGAATAGACTGTTCCCGGGCAGTTCGAGCCTTCGAAAAACATATTTAATTGTTTACGTTATTATTATGAGGATTAGAATGCCTACATTGTATTGTTATTTAACTATCTTGCTTACCCTGTACTTATCCTACAGCAGTTTCTTAGAGGTCATAATACAATTTTACGAGATCTAATAAAGCTGATCAGGTTGGCCTACAGAGGCATCACTAGAATACTATTTGTCTTACTATACTTGTGTAATTATTTGAATGTAAACTAAATATTGTTTATAAAACCGCCAAGAACTTAACTATAATATTTAACTTTCATTTAAAGTAGGTAGGTATACGACAAGTATACTTTTGAAACAAAGGTTAACCTTTCATCAGAAAAACCTCAGTTATTGACCGATCTACGGAGAAACCCACACAAAACAGACTTTTACACTTTCATTTAAAAACTACAAAGAGGCACCTACTTCAATATAATGAACCGTCCCCTAAGTCGATAATCTACGATTGTAAACCGTTTCTATGTTTCATTATCAAGATCGTAATACACATTAAAATATTGTAACGAATAGAGCCTGTAGTAGCTCCGCATTGCGAACTGTGTCAACACAATATCACCACAGCGTTAACATGAAGATAAAAGCCCTGCATGCGGTGAATGAGCAGTAATAGGGTTATTTAGAAGCGATGTAACATGCTCATGAGCATGTGCAACTCGCCAATATTATCACCTAAGTGGGTTATCCGGTAAATTTGTATGCCATGCCCTCTTATTTATATGAAAGCGATTCTAATTGTTCTTGCCTACTTTCGCACTTTTAAGTGAACAAAAGTAAACACACCACATCGATACCTAAGTTTATAATTAATTTGGTTATAAACATAATTGCCTACATACTTATTAATGTTCCATTGAAAATCAATGAACACATGTACTTAGTATGTTTATTTTTTTTCTTGACTTGTAAATTAGGATCCAAAAGTAAGTATTCTAAGAAAATTAACTAGATGCAATAATTAATTTCAAATTTATTTAGCTCTCGTTTTATGTTATTATTATTCGTATTTTGGAAAGAAACATTTCATAAATAGGTATGTTCTCTAAAACTTCCCGAATTTAGTAGGTAATCCTTTGAAGCGCGCAGTACATTTATTAAAAAATAGCATTACAAGCTCAGTTAACATTTTTTTTTTTTTGTAACATTAAGTAAATTACGACCGCCATGCGTGAAAAATACTTTTTATAAGAATTATGCCGCGGTTGCCCCGATTTCATAACTTTTTCACGGAAATAAATGAAACTTCATAAAAAAGGGTCCGAATATGCACGCTGCTGTTTTATGCGAGTTTTCGTAGTAGGTACACAAAATATAAAAGATTGTTTTATTGTAAAAAGTTAGCACGTTCCAACACGAATTGTGTTTTACTCTCTCTATCTCTCTTGATTATACTGTTTCAAACATATTTTATTAGAAGTAATGTTACTGTTTCACTCAGGATTCAGCTACTTATGTCATCACAATAAACATTACAAATACTGATCTGTGTATAGTAGATGTGTGCTCCATTGACGCTCTGCGTAATAATGAGGGTTCAGTCTCCTGCCGAGGTTTTATCAGAGATACAAACATTAGTTCCTCCATGGTATTATTTAATAAATTATATCACAGTATGTTTTTTTCATTTGCCTCACACAACAATATGATATTGAGTATATAGGTACGCGATATGAGTAAACACATATTATCCTAAAAGATCTACAAATGTACATACATATTTGCAATTTACCAAATGAACAAAGTAAAGTCTGAATAGCTTGTGTAAAAGTGAAGCAGATAAATTGTCGCCTGCGGTCTTTCCGGATCGATGCGACCTTCAAGAATAAAGCGTACTCCCACCTCAAAAACCGGACATGTGATTCTCAAGTTGCTCGAGACCATGCGGGGCTGTAGTCACTTCCAATCTAGTAATTTGTTTTCCATATCATTAAAAAATCATAAACACAGGCATTTGATGTCCAATTTTTATTTCTAGATCCGGGAGAGGTGCAGCATATGCTTGCTCAGAAGGAGAGGGCAACGCTCCCAAGTCGTGTTGCGGCAGGCCTCCACTAAGGCTATGCGTGCTGTTCCTCGGTGTTGTCGGCGCGTGCCTCGTCGCAGCTGGGGCAGTTCTCGGGGCCCTCAGGCCTCACCCAAAAGCACCTCTCACATTACTCCTTCTTATGATAGGTAAGCATTGAGTAGTATGAAATATTAACTTGAGGAAACACTCATCTCCTCTCTTGTATATCTCCTAAAGTCTGGGGAAGTTAAGTAAATAAGTTAAGTTGGGGAAGGGTTAGTTAGATTTCAGATACAATCCAACTAAAAATTTGTTGTGTTTGATCTTCAAGTTCATTTATCAAATATTAGTTATATTAAATGTATATAAGTTCTATTTTTAAATTTCAGTTATAAAATTTATGAAATCAAAAGAAATTCCTCTAGAACACAAAGTAAATCTTATACTCATAATTAACAAAAGTTATGTTTACATTCTGGTTCGCAACGCAATAGGTTTACCTAACAAAAACAAAGCCTAACAATAAGAACTTACAGACACACTTTTGCAATAGGATTGTTGACAGATTATCAAAACTGCTTTATTTTACAGTTGGGCCGTTAATTAACACACAAAAAAAAATATTGCAAGAAACTTTATTCAAAAGAAAAAAAGTTAAACTTTTAAACTTTTCGCTAAAACTTTTGCATCTGTATAATTTGTTTGATTACGTTTGTTACTAGTGGATAAATTAAGATTAACTACTTCATCAAGTAGTTTGTGAATATACATATAAGTAGGTAATATACCAACTTACAGTTCGTCATGGATCTAGTTAATGTTCGCCTGCGGCTATCGATGTTAAGTATGACTATTAAATTTGTAGTGTTTCAATATTACCTGATTGTATGGTACATTATATTATAGTTAAAGCACCTTATAGTTAGAGGTTAGTGCCTGTAAATTATTACCATCAAAAGATGGTAGATGTAGTGTATCATCTTAAGATAAGGTTTTAATTAAAGGCCTTGTCTTTGACTTCGATGTCATCCCTTAATGAAAAATTATAGGACGCAAAATCACAATAATATTTTCATTTTCCAACTTGCTTTTGAAGATTATAAAACCAACGCGAAAATTCATTTATTACCGCGACTGCTCATTGGAATGGAACCCTTTATATTTCGAGACTTTGATCATTAGGCAGTTCACAACTCATTTCATGCTCAGGCTTATTTTTTCCTTCTCAGCTGATTAAAATTTTCCGGTCCGATAAGTGAAACGGCGACGGAACTGAAGTAGGCGCGATTTGTCCGTTTTGCTTGCAGATGTGAACCAAAATTAACGTCCACATTCTAATATTCATGAATTCGACTAAAACGGCGGCCATAACAGACGACCGTAATTAACCGTGAAACAATCTGCGGCTCATTTGTTATTCGCTATGCATATGACAATAACAAGTCTGGCCAAAATCTCATTACATCATTCCCATCGCTCCGCCCCTGGAGTTTTCAATTAAACTTCAAATGAGTTTTAGAGTGGAATTAATTGGAATTTCATTAGCGTTAGGGACAAATGATATTGTTACAGGCAAGCGATCTATTGTTCTGTCGACGAGCCAATTTGTACGTGTCACTCACCGCCAAAGTTCACGCATCGGCATTTTGCCATAAGGCACTCATCGACCAGTACTCCCTTATTTTATATTGAGCTAAAGCTTGCTGAGTGATTAAAATACCAGTAGTTTCAAGACGAAAACTAGTATGATCATGATTACTAAACGATTTAAAGAAGGAGACATTCAATGCTTATGAACGGTTAATTTAAAAATAAAACTAAACTAAAGTAAACTATCGCGAAAACTAATATGCTTAGGCGGGGTATGGAAAGGCTTTTCATTGTGCGTGTGGAAATCCCCTTGGTGTGTGTGTTTTGGAATCGAATCAAAATAAATCGCACGGTGTGCAATACTGTGTATAAAAGGAGGAGGGAACTGGTACCAGTTTTCATTAAGACATGCGGACTGGGATATGGAAGGTTTTCCTAAATTTACGTCTCTTTATGCAGAAAAAAAAGCTTTATAATGCGGTTAACAAAATATCACAAACATTTCTTTCAACCCATAAATTTTAGACTAAATATAATATCATTTTCAACAGCCATCCTGCATGTTTGTTTTCTTTTAATAAAACGAAGCAACCGCAAAGACGGTAGCGAGCTCGACGGATTACACCGGAACATATTGTTCGTGATCACGAGCTCGAAAGTAATTAACAACAGTTGCTAAATGCGCCAGTTGTTGTTATTATCTATGGCAAATTATAGTTATAAATATCTATGGTCATGTTACGTTTGACTGCCAGTGTTGACATCTGGCCGGTTGAGATAATCATTAATTTTAATTTGTTCTATGGATTTTTTAAATGAAATCATTCACTACGCATCGTATATTTGATGAGGGCTTTTTGTAACTGTATTAAAAAAAATTTAAACTATGTTTGCCCTGTTGGTCTAGTGGTTAGTAACCCCGACTGATAATCCAGAGGTAGTGGGAATCGAATTCCCGTCCAAGATAAATTGTTGTGTGATGAGCACGATTGTTTGATTCGTGTCTGGGTGTAATTTATCTACTATATTATGTATGTATTTAGAAATAGCACCATCATCAATCAACATCCTATAATAGTCCACTACTGGACATAGACCTCTCCTTAGAAAAGAGGTTTTGAACTATATATATATATATATATATGATATATATACCAAGCTGGCCAGACGGAATTGACTAAACTTTTCCTCCTCTTTTTGCAGTGCTGTTGCCTTGTGTAGTTTGCTTCCTTAATCAGCTCATAATCCGTCATCACACGAACCTAATCCGTCACTATGCGGGTATCCTGGTATATATTTTTAATCTCGTATGGTTTTAGAAATATATTCCTAAGTATGTTTATCAGCAGTCTGGTTACCATAGTACAGGCTCTGCCTAGTTTAGGATCAGACGGGTATAAGTGAGTGAAGTTATTAATTACTATTCTTTAAAATTGTTTAACTTTTTGCAGTTCAGATAAAAATCTTAAGAGTATCTTGAAGGCTAATACAATTAGTTCAATTAACGTTTTGCTGTGTGAAAATAAAGGATCAAATGATAAGTGAAATGTCAAATAGCCTCTAGAGGCCTTATACCATTTCGAACATGTAATTTCCTTACTACTTTACTTAGGTACCAACTTACTTCGATTTGTTCCTTAATGTAAACAAACTTATTAATGAAAGTTAAACTAGTCATTAATAGATTTAACGAATGTGACTGTACTGTTTTATGTTTAGTATATTAATGGAATACTTTTTCATTTAACTAGTACGTATGTATTTGCCTAATGACTAACTAAAAAACGTTACTACGAAATTTTCCAGCAAAAGAAATCTAGTCGTAAAGTATGTTAACGTAAAAACTCGACTATCGCGATAGTCTATCAAGTATAATATTGTACAAAATGCCCACAAAAAAAAAATATTTTGCTAGACTGATTAATCATGCATTGAAAACTGCCCACTAATTTTAGTTTTAATCATAAAGCAGTGCTGTTATAGTTTTTTCCTCGTACTGACAAGACCATTGATCGATTACTGTCGAGACTAAATTATTGGTTCCCACGCTAAAGAAACCATTTACAGATAACATCAAGGTGACAAAACTTTGAGGTTTTTCAAATAGGAAATAAGAGAGATAAGATGTAATCTAACTACTTATTTCAGTAAGCACCATACATATAAACAGCTATCGACATGGACTAGTTAGAAGGCTTCCTGGATTTTGCTGCATAACAATAACGTAACGTCTATCTATTTATATCGTAACAATTTAATCCATACTATAGGCGTCTGACTATTCTCAATGTTATACGACATACCTATATCATACTACGATATTGTGTACCAATACTAATGTAAAGTACTTGTACTAACTTCTGGGAATCAACTAGGTATTTGAAATAGTGAAGTTCCATATTTTATGTATTTTTCGCGAATATGTGCATAAACAAAAGATACCTAACGCTTATGTTAAATTAGATTAAAATTTAAGGATCACCTTTTGATTGCGTTGACTTAGAAGTTTGATATTTTAGCTTCAAGGAATCACAGGCATAACTCTTTATGTCATATAATTTCAACGTCACATTCTTTTGTCTTACGTAACAATTTCTATGATCCAACTTCTACCGCAAGCATAGTTATAGAGAACTTCGTTCCAAAAATAAAACATTTCATTAAATTAAATGTGATGGTATTTACTACTGAATTTTATAGATAAGATACTGATGTAACACTTTTTTTTTCAGGAATAGGAGTAGTCCTTGTCACAGCAGCAGGTCTTGCTTGGCGGTTAGGAGCTCGCGACGCTCCGTGTGCACTCTTGGGATTACGCCGCGCCTCATGCCGTCGCCTTGTGCCGCGGTTACCACCTTCGTATGCCAGACCACACCATCCGTATGCTGCTATGCTCTATCCAGAGTTCCACTATCGGCCACCACCACCTACCTACCAAGCTTCCATGCAAGAATATAGGCTCAGGTTTGAACTTCAACTTTATTAATTTCAAACATGTTTCAAATACTACGGCGAGTACTTATTCGCCGTAATATTTGAAATAATTAATACCTATTAAGATAAGTCAGCCCTAGGGTGTTTTCATTATAACAAATGGTTCTGAAGGTAATGTAAGTCTCTCGTAAGATGTCAATTGCACGTCACTAATCCTTTCTTAATAAATGGCGTTCTTAAGACCCTACTCAACACCCAAACACAAGTATTGTTGTGTGTCATACTCCTTGGGCCTACCTGGGCTTGAGTAGTACGTCTATTAATATTTCTTTAGGAATTAAATAAGGATCTTGCATCTTGTAACTTCACTTGGTAATGGTGTTTATCGTAATTGGTTGGGTAATATAATAATCTGTTTTTAATGATATTGTTATTGTATTTACAAGTTTTATCTATTTTCAGGTTACTTCTGTTAGATAGAAGTGCGGCCGCGGTATCGCCACCCCCGACCTACAGATCAAACTCAGCCAGTCTAGTCAGGTACGCAAAGTCAACACAACCTTAATCTGAAATGTACCGCATGGAACATTGCTTATCTGTCAATACTCAAATACTCGTATAGTTACCAAAAGATAGGATTCGTGTTTGTTTTTAAGTTATGCATAGAAAAAAAATAAAATTAATTCAGATGTAAGTCTCATTGAAGGTTAACACATGCAGAAGTATTATCGTAATATAGAGGTGTTCTCGGATCCCTCCTATTTTCGCCGCAGTATAGTATGTCGTAACATTTTAGTCATGGTGATTCCGGTCCACCTTAAAGAAAATGAATAAAACGCCAAAATAGAACGAACGAAAAAATTTGAGAACGGTTTTGACTACTGGAATGTGATAGATTTTCTCTTTAAGTTCATATTATTGACCCTTACGACACTCAAATTCTTACTTCTTGTGAATTACTTATTATATCACATAAATTTGGTAAAATAATTTTATTATTATTTGTCTCCAGCAGAGGATCAACAGGCGCCGCGTGGTGTGGCACCGATTACAGCGGACCACCTTCATACCGTGCACCCCGCGTGGACCCTCCCGTCACCGTCACAGACAACCTGCCCACCATCACGCCTATAGACCTCAAATACGTCGATAACACCATCGAGAATCTGCCCAGACCCACACCAGATCAGGAGAAAGACCCTGATGAACATCTCGTCACAATAGTGCATACCGACTCACAACCAGTTATCGTGACCGTATCTGGTTCACCAGCTTTGAATGATACTCATACACCACCCCCTTCAGAAATCGACATACTGGCGCATTTATAACGGAGACATCTTAATAGCACAATATACAAAGTTTGGAGGTAGACAAAGATTAAAATTTGCCGTTAATTTAATTCCATGGTCGTTTGATTGCAATTTTTCGGGCACCTGGGATTGTGTGGTAACAATGCAAGTGAGTAGGATATTCTAGTACAGATTTGTAAGCAAAAAGTGATTTAATATAGTACGTGAATATATTAATTACTAAAATATAATTAGGGAAATGAACTATATAGTTATTACTTCGAGAGGCATAACAATTTTGTTTTGAATGACTGAAAAAAAAGAATTTGAAATGAATTAAGATGAGTCTAGGTAAATAGACTATTCCAACTACTACAAATTCAGTATAAGTTTTATTGTACTAACAAATACAATTTCAAACCTTCGCAACGATTATTCAAAACAAAATTGATAACTTATGTAACTGTTTTAAAGATATAATGGTTTGACGTACCTTATTTTATTAAAATAAGTATTGTGTAAATATTTGAAAGCACTGACGTATGTTTCGTTTGAATAGTGTTGTTATATTTAACAAAATATGTGCCGTGTATATACAATTGATACAAATTATATTAGAGTATTAATTAAGAAGTAGATGATGCAACGATTCGTCATAAACCAAATCCTTCACCGTGATGTACAACTAAGAAACTTGTTATTCATATAGTGCCAATGGTTGTTTAGTTGTTTTGTAAATACATTTTGTAAATCGCTTCTTTCTTACTTTATATTCGGCTAACATAAACCGCTAAAATAAATTCTTGATCTCTATTGATAGCATAAATAAAAAAAAACTCGTTCTGTGTCCTTCCAATTTTTATCTCCCTGCATACCACGTATAACTTTCTCTTTGAATACTTTGATTACTTAATGCTCTACATAAACACTTTAAAAACATTTTAAATAATTGCGAACCAGTAACAAATTTTGTTCAATATTATTTTTTCATCTTTGTGATATGACTATGACAGTTCTACATAGTGTTCCATTTATGAAATAGTCATGCAATTTACGTCTCAAAAGACGTTGGCTAGATTGTTTTTTTAGCATTGACAATTATCACAAACGGATTTTTAAAAGTAAACATATTCAAACCGTAGCATCCCTCTTTCATACTCTATGACTTGTCGATGCCTCGTTTACTACTACTGCGACAAGAACTCAACTAATCGTACTCTACATTCATATTACTGCAAGTTAATATAAGACATGTGGACTTTGGTTGAACACTTTAGTGGTAAACGAGGCATGCAATTACGACTCTGCTCTATTTTCGAACATCGTTTTATTTGGCTTATCTGCTTTTAATTCTAAACCACGTTAGCAGTGATGAGATAGTACTGTGTAAATTACTACTAGGTTAAGATGTAACGATTACTGTAATAAACATATTGTAAATAACGTTATTTGTATTATAAGAAATAAAGATCTTTAGTGAAACCAAATTATGTCATTTTTCCTGTAAACCTCGTATTCTTGTAATATATGCTCACATACCTGCAATATTCCTGGACGATTGCAAAGGAGATTACTCTTTAAACCCTCAGCTTACACGATCCTATTTACCTTACCTATTTACCTATACATTGATAAGTAATAGAATAACTATTCACTGTAGATATTTTTCTAAAGGTACGCCATTATTATTAAATACAACTACTATATATGTTAAACATATACGGTATGTTAATGTGTATTTATTTGGTGACAATGTGCGAATGTGTATGGAAATTGTCTAGATCTGGCATTTGCATAATCGGATTTTGTGGATTTCTCGTTGATAACGTTTTGGTGTTAGTTCTGTAGGTGTACCACTTTCACTTTATGTTTTGTTTGACTATTTATTATTCAGAAACGGAAGTATTTATGCAATAATTTTACTTTGTGCGATAGTGAGGCGATATTACCTAATTGTTTTTTTCATCGTTACCTATTCTTAGAGTATGTATCCTTGATTGGCTCTAATGGTTAGATCTCTAATATTCCATTTAAAAGCCAGTTTGTACTTAACTGGTCTTGTTTTCTAATGCATCATCACAATTAGATAGCAGGAGTAACTAAATGGGTAGGTATGTTCCTTATGAGTTATACTAAAAGTATCGGAAGCATAGTATATAAATACCTATAATATAGGTATTTATACAAAGATACCATCTAATTTCGGACGACAGCTTTCTGATTTATGATTATTTATACAAAGTAGATTAAATAGTGTATTTAGGTTATCTTATATACGCAAGGTACGTAGTCACGGTACAATTATAATAGTACCGTGACGTAGTCTATCTTAAAGCGTATGTATATCACGCTAATTTTAAACCAAATATTTTCAAATCAAAATAAAAAATTTAGCAATAAAGTACTTAAAAATAATTTTGGACAATTTCCTTTCGTGGCCTTAGACTTTCCCACATCCTCAATTTGTCGTGATCCATCTGCTTTATTGCCCTGCTCAAGTTCCATAACGTCGAATTTGTGAGGCACGGAAACAAAGGAATAGAGTTTGTTTAGTATTATTTAATTTTAATAATGGAAAAATTATAAAACTGGAAAATCGGTATATGATGATGAGATAGTAAGTATAAGACCCTATAAAAACCAAGTGTATGGAATGTAGTTTTTTATAGAAAACCAAATATCCAATAATGAAATATGACAAATGGTTTAAAAGTTGGTATTTGGAAGCATGCTTGTCTTGGCAAATAGTAATTACTGAGACTTTATCTTCTTAGACGGTATATTCATAACCAAATTAAATTTTGTATTCTTTCAAAAAAATGTGGTCTCTCATATATGAGAGACCACAAAATTTTAATGTAACTTTCAATAATCATTTTGTCTTTAACAGCAAATTGACCCTGTAATAAAACTACTCTAATAATTTGTATCTACAAATTTGTCCCATTCTGGATGTAAATGAAAGTACAGCCAGCGGATTCCGGGACAATAGTACTCTGTAATTATATTGTAAAGCAATTTTGTCACGACACGACGCCCTGCGACGCTGCGAAAATGAAAATCAGCTCGGTATTAATAAAACGCCGGGCATAATGGCCGACGATATGAATGTGATAAAGCGAAAAATTAAGAATGAATTAAAAAATTTAATATAATTTTCAACGCCGTGATACATGTGGAATTTAATATTGTTTACACCGATTAAATCGGTCGCTATTGTATTGCTCTGGTTTAGAAAAATAAGATGTGTTTCAGGTTGATTTTATTGTGAAAAACCTGTTGGAAATTAGGTAAGAAGGTCAGGCAATAGAAAGAAGGAGATACTGCTTACACGGATCAAATGGTTACTCCCTATTATTTCATTGGTGATATGGCCCAACATAGTCGACGACCAGCACATCTCTAGTTATTAATAGGTATAGATAACCTAAAAGTTAATAAATTACTGGCTACGTAAATTTTTATACTTAGTTTTTTGAGAGCAGACATTATAACAACTTGATGACTTGAACAAGTTTAACTTTAATAATATTTAGGTAATCAATTTTACCACAAAAGTAGAATGACAAAGATGCTTACAGTTTTATAGTCGTTCGAGTACAGTGCATACGGCTTTGTCGGCAAACCTAGAATGCCATTAATAGATCGCAACAAACACCGGCAACGCGTTTGTGACTCCTGAGTTGCAGACGCGTCTTGTCAAAACGGCGTAAAACTTGATTCATATCGGTATGGTGTAAATTTTCTTCAAAGTTAGCCATACAACATATAGCCTAATAACACATCCATATGGAGAGAAAGTATAAATGTAAAGCGATTATTTACACGGAGAACCTCTGTCACACCGCAAAACGTTATGTATCGGGACATGCGGGTAAAAGATCCGATTACTAGATATGTGTGATCGATTGACGTTCTTTGCTGCGACGCTATGCAATAAATTTAGATTTCGGTTAGTTGTAAGCGGTTAGCGAGACTTAAAATACCGATGATTTTAACGATTTATGAAACGAAATCATTTATTTGGCAATGAACGATAGGCAATAAATGTGGTGGAAATTGTGAAATTCTTAGAACTTTCGAGAAGCTAAGGAAAGTTAGAGGAGGACTCTTAAAATATAAGTTGATAACTTATAGGGCTATAGAAAGGCATAACATTGAATGACATTTCTATTAACAAGAAGCACGATATACTACTAAATACTTGGCGCGTATACCCTTTCGATAAAACACGTGTATGATATGCTCTGAGTTTCTTGTCAGTGGCTAGTGCACCCATAACTGTAGTTTGGTTTTAAAAGGCATAGAAGTTTTAAAATAAAACGATACCCAATCACCTTAAGCTTTCTTAAGTACTTGTAACACGATACTAACAGAATACTATTAGTAACTAGCTAACTAGTAGGTTATATCCGGTTTTCTGTAAACTACTCGTAGATTAGGACGTGAAATATAACAACTGTCTAATCGCGATAAACTCGAAAAGTAAGAAACGGGCTTTGCCTTTTGAAGAGTTATGCATAGATAAGGTTTAGGTGTACTAATAAAAAAAAGGGTACTGAAATTTACTAAAATGTGTCGACAAATGTTGAAGATGTCAGAAATACCTAATTATTCTTTTTAAATAGATCTAATACACTTATGTAACCACTATATGATCACTATACACAATACACGTAAAACGAAAAAATAATATATTTCAAGATAATACCTTTTAATAAAATATATTTTTAGTATTTACTTACTTAGTTTCAAATGATTAACTTCATACGACATAATATTTATATAAACGCATCCCAAGACCTACTAGATATGCCTCCGCTACAATTTCGTAACATCACTATTAAATTCCAGATATTGCTTTTGAATGCATTCCGTCCCGAGGGCGTACCTGAACCGCATTCATGTGGAACCATGGAATATGCGCAGCTTATGAATATCCAATACGATCCCTTAGTCAAAACCTCTGCATTTACCTACACATTAACATTAAATAAACTGTATGAAATGTGTTCAATATATTCTCTTAAAAATGTTTT